TCTTCCTGACAGGATCTCCCCAGTCACAGCCCACCTGGAAGTCACTGTGTGAACCAGGCTGGTCTTGATCTCACTGAGATCCAGCTGCCTCTGCCTCTGTAGGATTGGGATTAAAGACTTGTGCCACCACACCTGACAATGTCTTACTTTTATAATCTTGATCCTAAAACTGTATCAAGACTTGACAAACCATATTTTTTCCATTGTATTTCATTTAATCTCTACCAATATTAATATAACAAGTTTTCAGTATATACTTTAACCAACAAAGAAATTCTATGCTAGATTTTGAATTCTCATTTTGTTTTATTTTGATGAGAAATTTCTTGAATTTTCAGTGTAATTACTTTAAGCAGCTGCTCAAAGCTTACAATAGCAATAGGAGACACAGCAGAATGAAAAGGTATGGAAGAGTCCAAAACACAGTTTGCTGGTATTCATGAAAATAGGCCAAACATAAGAAAATTTGAAGCCTCCTTCAAAGATTCCAAAGTACATGTTTCAATTTATGAAACTGATGAATTATGAAACATATTCTTAAAATTACACTTGTGAAAAAAGAAAGATTAAATGGATATATACAAGACTAATGAAATCTCAGTCTGAGTTTATAAAATTAAATAAGTACACCAATTTTATTTTATGTGTCAACTTACAGAGAATCACCATCAAGTTTAAGACATATCTTTCAATTAAGGCTTCAAAGTAAGGGTAGATTGCAAAACTGTGGACAATGGTTGTTCATTTAGATTTTATTTTATATTTCCTACTAAAAATACACCTATTTTCAGGGATAAAGTAAAATTTTGTAGGTAGGTAAAATGAGTGATATTAACAGAAATCAATTTTATTGGCAAAGTTTTGTCAAAAAAGATTATATTCACTACAAAAATGTATGAATAAAGAGAACTGAAAACATTTATACTGTCATAAGAACCTCACTAAGATTTGAGCCTCAGAGAGATGCAAAAAGAGCACATTGTGCTGGCTTATACCTGCAGCATCAGCTGCAAAACATCCTCAACCATAGAAACCATCACCAGATGCGTTCACCCATCCCAAAAGGGATGCTCACTCAGACAAGCAGTGACTCAATTGGTCCTACAGTGTGCCACCACTTCCAGTAGAAATGAAGTTCTTAAATCCAAATGTAGTAGTTGGTACATATCTATTACTTTGCTCCACAATATAATAGTTTGACTTACTCATTTTGTCATTTTATAAACACAAAAGATTTATTGATTACTATGTATCAGGTACTGTTCTAGGTGCTGAGTACAAAGTAATAAAGAAGAAAGATGAATATTTGGCCAGCAATGTGGTTAGGTGGCTAAAGGTACTTGCCACTAATGCTGAGAACCTGAGTACAATACCCAGTACCCAGATTCTGGAAGGAGAACCAATTGCCCCAAGTTGTTTTTGACCTCCACATAGATGCCATAGTACATATGTGCTTCTCCACACATACACACACAAATAAATAAATAAATAAATAAATAAATAATAAATAAAGTTTTTTAAAAAGACAAATGCTATATCCTTATCTGATCTAGTGTTTGAGCAAGATTGCAATAGGTTCTAGCAGTGATTTAAAGTTATGATAAAAATACACCAGTTACTGTGAGTGTTTTTGGTCAATGAAGACTCCTTTCAGAAACAGAAAACTGAACTGAAGCCTGAATTTTGATAGTAGGCTGTGTAAACACCAAATTTTTCATGAAAAGTGAAGAAGTGTGAAATGCCAATGTCAACAGTGAGCTTTGTTTATTGGGGGAAAGGGTACAGTTATTGGGAATAGAACATAAGGCTTCAATGTGCTCACAGCAGCTCTGACTATAAGCACAAGACCTGTGCAGGATCAAGCCAAGCAAAATGCCTACATGGGTGGGGGAGGTAGTTACAATGGCTCACTGCTTAGCTGAGGAGCTGTTGAGCTATTGGCATTTGAGGGCTGCTGGGGGACAGAGAGGGTTTTCTTCAGGGATACAGCCCCTGAGAGGCCCTACCTCCTTAGAAATACTGGCAGCACTAAGTGGGCTCTAGTTTTAAACAAAGAGCACATGAAGTTGGAAAAGTGGTGAAGGGAATAAGGGAAGAATTGGACCAAGAACATCAAAGGTATATTTGATCAAAACACATTGCATGCATGTATGAAATTCTTAATGAAAGAAAAGCTTCAATGTTAATGTAAGATAATGATGGCCAGGAGATAAGAGAGTGGAGAGTCACGATTGCATCTGGCAAGGTAGAGGACAGCAGTACAGAATACTCTCCAGAATCAAGGAAATCTCAGACATTGGATCTGAGGTGATCTAAACAGTACCACCATTTATGTATGCTGCTTGGGTGAAAGAATATGCCTACAGGAAGAAAAAAATTCTCTAGGCAAAGTATGATGAGTGAACAGGATGATAAGAGGTAAGAGGAACTTGAAATACAAGGAAGGTTAAAATTATACATCCCTTTAGTTTAGTCTCCAGCAGAGATCTCTCACTCAAGCCAGAAACTATTCTAATAGCATAGTTGGAACAAATTTACAATTATTGCAGAATTATATTTTTCTGAGTGAAAATGATTAGAAAACTGTCAGATGAGACATAGAACTGTAACACTTTTTATATTTTTTATTTATTACTTTTATTTTATGTATATGCATGTATTGCCTGCATGTAGGTGAGTGCACCCATATCGTGCAATGCCCACGGAGGACAGAAGAGGCTGTTAGATTCTCTGGAACTAGAGTTATGGACAGTTGTTAGCTGCCATGTGGGTGCTGGGATTCGAACCTGTGTCTTCTGCAAGAACAGTCAGTGTTCTTAAGTGCTGAGCCATCTCTCCAGCCCCAGAATTGTAACACTTTTTAACTCTAAGCAGGAGAGCAGTCTCAAGCTTCCCTTTCATTCCATAGGATATTAGAAACAAAAATGAGAGCTGTGAGATGGAACAGTACAAGACAGCTCTCACCCTTGTACTAAGAACAAAGCCCAGATTCATAGAAAGAATTAACATTATGTAAATTCTAAAAATTGCCTTATACAATGATTTTATGCTCTATTTACCACCTATATATCTACTTATTAATCATATTGACTTATTGGAATGTATGCCAAACCTCAAAGCCAGTAAAAGCAGAATTACAGAAATCAGAGTCACTAAAATGAACATACTATTGTCTCAGTTGTAATATTAATGAACCTCTCTTACTAATGAAGGAGCTTAATGATTTAGGGTTTTATAAACTAGTGGCTATTAACACATAAATGCATTTCAATTGGCCTGTGCTTTTGTGTAACGACAAAAGATTTTGCAATGTAGGAGCTATTAACATGTTAGAGCATTTCCAGTTGACTGCCGATTTCCTGTCTTGTTTTCAAATATATGAATATGGAATTATACATTACAGTGATATTCCTTAACTTCAACCAGGGACAATTAGCTTGAATTTATTTGTGTAAAGTTTGTCAGGAATGCCACAGTCAATAACCCTTCCTCACCTGAACAACTAAAGCAAGGCCCACAATATTGATAAGGCCATCTAGGATCATGGCTATATCCCACAGCAAATAGCACAATTATCTTCATTTGCTCAGATTCTGTATTATTTCATTCTGCTTCATAGACCTCCTTAGCACGATGTGTTAATCAAGACACAGAGTTCAGACTCTTACCAGATGTTTACTCCTTTTAGGCCATTTGCTCAGAAACTTCCTGATTATCCCTGTCCTTTATTAACAACATTTTTTGTTGACCTTTTATAAATCTCATTTCATTCATTCAACATATATTAAGTGAGTGTTATGCTGTTTTTTTCATCACTGTGACAAAATACAAGACAGAACAACTTAAGGGAAGAATTGTTTATTTTGGCTCACAGTTTCAAGGAGTTCAATCTGTGCTTCTTGGTTTGATTGATTTAGAGTCAACAATAAGACAGAACACCATGGTAGGAGGAAGAGACTGTTCACTTCATGGTGGACAGCATAGACAGAGGAGCTACAGACAGGACCTATCCCTCAAAGACACACCCCCTCAGTCACCTGCTTACTTCAGTTAGGTACCTCCTTCTAAAGTCTCCAGAGCCTTCCAAGGTAGGACCACCAGATGGCAACCAATCATTTAGTACATTAGCCTTAGAAGAACATTTCACATTCAAACTTTAAGTGTTGACCTTTTCGTCATCTCTAAAGCTTCAGGGCAAAGGGAGAGAGTAGTGTGAGGTGAGGCTACAAAGAGACAAGAGTCTAGTAATGTGGAGTTTTGAAAACTAAAAAATCTGCTCTTCACCTGAAGACCTACCTAGAAAAGCAATTGATGACTCAGAAGCGCTGTTAGTGACACCTTCCTACTTCTGTCTGTGGTTTGTGTTGTCTCCTTTCTTGCCTCTCCCAATGTGACCTTCTTAAGCAGCTGGCCTTGTGATGCTAGTCAGCGGTTTACAATTCTGCTTTTAATGAGCAAACAGATTTTCTTTAAGACAAAAAAGGGGTGACCATTTGTACAAAAACATCTTCTCTGGGCGGGTTCAGGAGCAATTATAAATAGAGATATGTGGGAATTGGTTCATGAAAACATTGACATATGCTATATTTATCCATCATTATTTGTAAATCATAGTTCATGATTAAACAAGAAATAAAGAGGAAACATAATTTAGTGATGCTTTTTTATTGCATGTTAGCATCATAAGTGTAAAATACATGTGCAGACACTGTAGAGTAAAATTACTTTCTCAGTAATATGCTTTATTTACATACCTATGCTTCTGATAATTAAAGAAGCTTCATTTATTTAGAGACCTGTGTGTATGTGCATGTTCTGATATATGCATTTTTCTTATTTTCTTTAAGACTTGTCTATAGTAGTCATCTCTTCTTTTGACTTCATTTTAAATTTAGAACAAAAGAGAAATAACCTAATTAATCTGGGTAACTGCCTTGTTTCAATCACTCATTTTACGTGGGTTTAGTAATATAAACTGTTGGTGTTTATCTGTTTCCCAGGAGAAGAAGTAGACAGACAGCTATGCAGAGATGCCATCTTTCCCATTCCAGTGGCCTGTGATGCCCCATGTCCAAAGGACTGTGTGCTCAGTGCGTGGTCCACATGGTCCTCCTGTTCACATACCTGCTCAGGGAAAACCACAGAGGGGAAACAGATCCGAGCTCGGTCCATTCTGGCCTATGAAGGTGAAGAAGGTAAGGTCTCTAGCTTCTTTTGGAAATTGGTGACTATTTTCTTTGTGTAGCCCATATAAGATGATCTTCCATGAAAAATAACAGACAGAAATCCAGAAACAAAGGTTTAATATCTGTCCATGTGGTAGGCAGTATGATTCTGTTCCTGATTGATCTTGAAAACGTACCTTTGATAAAGGAGAAAAGACTTTTTAAAGCATTTTTCTCTTTTTTACATTCTCCTAATAATTCAGGTTCTTTTTCCTCTAAAATGTGAAAACTGTGGGGGGAAAAATCTGAAAAAGTGGATTCTGAAACTTTTTATTGGTTATTGGTTTTTTTTTTTCTGTTTCAGTACTTAGTTTTATCTTCCTAGATTCTAGTGTCTCATAAAAGAGTCATATGTAAATAATAAGAAAGTTAGATAAACAGCACATGACTGCTTCTGGGATGAGCATTAAACATATTCTGAATACAGACTCTGAGTTCCACAGGTCTCATATGTGGATTCACCCTATTGGGTGAAGACAGCATATTTGTCACAGATTCAAACCTGTCTTTTGAGTAGACATCCAAATGCTTATTTGGTCTCTGTATGACTACGCAAGAGAAAGTCATACTTACTCTGGTTCTGGAAAACTACACAGGATTAGAAAACATAGAAGTGGGGCTGGAGAGATGGCCCAGTGGTTAAGAGTGCTAGCTGCTCTTGTAGAGGACCTGGATTTGATTCCCAGCACCTACATGATGGCTAACAACAGTTTGTAGCTCCACTTTCAGGAAAATTCAACACTCCTGACCTCCGCAGGTATTACATGATACAGGTGCACTTACATACATACAGGCAATACACTTATGCACACAAAAAATAAATAAATATTTTTTTAAAAAAAGACACAGAAGTCATTTCTTTCACTTTAAGATATATTCTTTTGCAAGAATCCATGTGTGCTATTATAACACTGTCAGGCGGAGTGACCCCTCATTAGTATACCTAGTACTTATAAATATTTCTATATATGGTAACTATGCACTAGTATTAGCGCCTAAAAATAATCAATTTTGAGGGAATTTTATTGATTTATACATTTTTAATGTTTTTGA